GTGTGTGTGTGTGTGTGTGTGTGTGTGTGTGTGTTTTTCTGCGACTGCTCTACTTATTATATATCGTTGCCTTTCTTGTGTGATAGATTGCGGTCTGGTAGCTCATAGGACGTGTACGGCGACGGGTTTACCCTCCAACTGCATGCCAGTCGATTCGGAAAATCGTGCCCATAGATTTACTCCAGGTAAGTGGCGGTGTGCATGCGGCGTGTATGGTGGTGGCGCGTACGCAGTATGCGACACGCGACACGCGCGCACTGACGTCCAGTTTCGTAATGTGACATTGATACCGCTCGGTCGTAACACGCCCATTACTTCTTCGTTACGTTAATGGACGGAACACGGAAACAATTTAAAAATTCAGATGTCTTTTAGTTGACTATCCCGGATTGCATCAGAAACATGTTCGCTGACGCTGGAACTGCTTTGCAATCCGCGCGGCCGATTATGAAGTTTGTAGCAAGGACATACGATGTGGCGCATTACTTGTCGCTCTAATATCTGAATAACTAAATATTCATGTGTCTTTCGATTGAAATCGTTGGCGACCAGGGCGGAGGGGGAGGGAGGAGCGGGAGGGAATGTTATTTCATCGGTCACGTTCATTCTTCTTTCCTCTCTACCTTTATTCGTTGAATTTGGCTACGTCGAATTTCAGACGAAGGATAATCATCTTTTTCGAGTCACGGGCTCGAACGTGGAACGGGCCCACGGGCGATGGAAGTTGAAAGTTGTGTGCGTGCGTGCGTGCGTGCATACGTGTGTGCGTACGTACGTCTGCTACGGCACGTACACTCGAAAGTAGACGGTTTTCCAAGAAATTCCGCGGCCACTCTCGGAATCGTCATCGTGCGTAAGCACCGACGACTGTATAATAGATAAACCGAGTACACAGCGGTGTGTAGTCTCTGTTTCTCTCTCTCTGACTTGTGCATGCATATCGGTCGTCCGACCGAGAGATAGAGTGTGGTAGTGGTAGGTAGTTTCATTAAGTTGTCGGTCGCGTTGCGCGTTGTTCACGCGATGAGACACGCAACCGCTATATATGGAGAATGGTAGAGAATCGGGAATGGCGCCAATGGTCGACGAAGCCACGGTGCGACGTCTCCGCGTGGCGCGATTTATAGACACGGTTGTTAGAAGCACTGTCGCGTGCTTTTCAAAAGTTCGCGCGTCGATTGCGACGGACAGAGGGAAAACAAGGGATGGCAAAGAAAAGAGGAGAAGAAGACGCGCGACGTTTCACCGAAGGAGGAACGTGGAGGAATCGCGCGCGACTCTGCCTGACAATAAAAGCATTTCCACGTACTCCTCGTAAAATTGGAACGCCCTCGTTTCGAATTCTATGGTGTCGGTCACGCGTTGCTCTGCACGGTGCCCTCGCTTACACGTCTGCCGTTCGCCGATATTACAGATCCTCCCTTCGAGGATCTCGCGATCAGTTAATCAATTGTTCAGGTTCGGTTAAACATCCGTGACGAATATCGAATTTCCGTATTATATATATTATCTTCACGCGCGATGATTTGTACATGGTACATGGTGGGCCGTGCATGCACCTTTTAATTTCAACTTTTTTATTCCGTCTCTTTCGTATCGAGTCTGCGGAGAAGATAGATTACTCGTGAAGAAACAAAATATCGCTGTTGCGGTCGTAAAAATATATTTCTTCTTCTCCCTCTATTCTTCTTGTGTGAAATTTTCTCTGTCTCTCTCTTTCTCCTCTTTCTCCTCCTCCACCTTCTTTCCTTC